AGGTTAGTTCAAGCAAAAGAAATGTTTTGTGACAGAGGGGAGCAAACTTACCTGCCCTTGTAGCAACACACCTGCTGTCAGCAGCACTGATGGCGACCTAGAGATGTCTGTACTTCTATTAGACTGTCCCGCCAACTGGGCTGGAGGGGGACTTTAATCAGGTCCATGCCAAGTTAGCACTGTGAGTCATTTTTACCACTTAAGATCTCAGTTTATGAATAAGACACCTGTACATGCATAGGAGAGACACTGTGGCGGAGCTTTTCTTGTTATCTTTTAATAAATGTGCCTCAAGTGGAAGCACTTGGCAGAGTCGAGAAAGGCAGCATTTAGAACCTAATGGAAGGAGGAGGAGACAGGTTGGGTAAGAAAATAATGAATAATCTGTGACCTTTTTGAATTGAGTAATCTATCAACAAAGAGATTTTAAAAGGAAATTGAAGGTGAAATATTGCAGAAAACGAGACAATAGTCTTTTTTTTCCTTCTAGAGATTTAATTTTAAGCTCATAAAAAAAGGCTTCCAGGTCCTGTGACATGAAACAATGTGAAGGGTTTGCATTTTTGATTTGTGCTGGAAAGTATGTGACTGATAACATTGCAATAAATGGAATTTTTAAAAAATATATTATTGCTGTTCTTTGCTCCCCCCCCCCTCCCACCCCACTTTCTGCATCCCAGAAAACAAAACAAATAAGGCATTTAATAGTGAGATTTCCTGGTAGCCACTCAGACTTACTGTGTGCACATCTGACCAATCAGGTTATGCAGCATTACTTTTACTGTTGTTCGGTGCACGTTTGACACAAGAGCTGGGCATTTGGTATGCCAACATCATAAGTATGTTGTTGGTGAGTATCAGTCTTTACAACTGCTGGTTTACCTGTTGTAAGATGTTTACGATTTGGTGCAGGGGGCTCTGGTGTCCATTCGACTCTTTTCCAGCAGAATGATGGTGACGTTGCTCTTATGCATTTTATACTGAATTGTTTGCCAGATACCTGGGATGCACCTTTGAGCAACATGTAAAAAATGAATTAGATGGCCAATGCCACTATCCATTGGGAGGTTACTGGGAAGCCTGGACATGTTGTCTGGCGTTATGATTTTTTTTTTATCTGTGGGGGGGGAGGTGGCGGAGAGAAAGCTTGAGGTGTTTGGAGGGTGTAAGGCCAGAAGAAATGGTTCACATGTAATTTATTACAACCGCTGAAAACTATTTTGGCAGATGAAATCATAATGACATGCATTTTACTTAGTGTTGAAAGTATGCTTCATTACCAAGTGATAAAATTCACATCTCAACTGCTGAAATGAAAACTAATCTGCTATTTTCTAACATTAGAGAAGATGTCACACACACACACCTTGAATTCAGCTTTTTTTTCTGGTGAGAGCCAAGCTTAGGTCCCATGGAAAATGCCTAAATTAAGGTTTGTGTGCTCATTAGACAGGGTTTTTCCAAACCTTGAAGACATTCTGAGCAACCAGTTGCTGCATGTTTTTACAAAGGCAGCAACAGACACTGTACATTCATGGCATTTCTCTATGCCTTATTTCCCCAGGAAAATGAGAGTAAGAGGACTTAGAAATGATAGGCAGATTGTCATTCCTAAACCACAGACTGAACTGTTCAATCCGTTCTTTGTGTGTACAAGTGACATTTTATATTATATATTATATATATAATTAATGTAATGTGCATTTGGATTTTTTTAAAACAAAAACTTGTTGAGTGAATTTTTAATTTTTTTAAATAGAGACGCAAGATAAAACTTTGTTTCCATCAATTGAAGTTAGAGATACAAAATAATTATAAAAGAAGGCCTTTGCTGGCATGAGTTTCAGCATGTTGCCTTTCCCCCCTTCCACGCCCTGTGCCTTGGAGCAGGGATTGTCTTGGGTTCGAAATCCTGTACAACAGCAACTTGCAGCTGTGAAGCACTTTTCTCATAGTTAAATGTCTAAAAGTTGCTTAATATAGATGAAGTCGGAGCTTGAGAAGGGTGGGAGCTCCAGGGGGTAGAGGGAGGTTGACTGAAGGTGAAGTCAGAGAGGTAGGTTATGAGGATTTTCAAATTGGAGAAGGTGCAAGGCAGAAGGATTCATGGAGTGAGTTTTGGAAGAGGGGGCAAGTTGACTGAAGGATTGCCCTTCAATGATGGGCCACCCACCCTCCCCCGAATCCAATCCCAAGCTCGGGGTGCAAACCCTCCACTTGGGATGTCCTCCCGACGCAAAAAGCATTATAGAAATGCAATTTTTGTCATCGTGGATTACGTCAGAGTTGGCAGATCGGAAGGAGTCCTTTGTATGTAATATGCCATCTTATGTATAAATGCCTTGTTAAAATTAACAGGGAAGTAGGATTGCAGGAGATCATGAACGTAAGGTGGGGCAAGAGATGATGTGGTGGTGGTGGGGAGGGGAAACCTGTGGAAACTCTGCTTGTGCACCCTACGGTCCTGCTCCCAGGCAGGTTCAGCTGATTACTGCACAAATTCAACACCCAGAGGTTGAGTTTCAATTGCCATGTCATCCAGAAGGATGGATAGGGCAGGAAAATCCTCTTCTAAAGTTGGAATTTCTTTGTTGGGGCAAGGAAGAGGTTACAATAAGAGTTGTTGTCGCTGATATTCAGTAGAAATGTGCCCCATTCCTTCACCTGGAGCAAAACTATCTACCTGATTGTGAGATTGTGCCCCATTTAAGTTTTAACCTTTAAGCTGTCTGCTTGGAGCCTGGTCAAGCTCCACAATTGTAACGTAAAACTTGATCAGTTGGAAAGCTGTGAGATTGGTATTTTTAATATAAAACTGAAGACCCTANTTTTTCAGGCATCCATGGAAACTCCTCTTAGTTTTTACAATAACTGTTGACATGACATTTCTTTTTTTTGGAGGTACTATTTTGACAGTAACGACAGTAATAGAAGAGCCACAATGAATTCCTATCACGTGTTGTATTCAATAAAAAACGATTTGCTTCTCGCTAGACTTCTGTACAAAGGCAATGTCGTTTGTGGTATTTACCAAGTCAGGAACAAACTAGGACTGGTAAATATTATACAAATATTGACTGTAATTAAGAGCTGTAGTGGCAAACTGTTGACCTGGGGGTCAGTGCAAGACCTCCAAAATGAGCATGTTTTTGATGCACTGTAACTTTTGCTTAGCAACGGGCAAGTATTCTATGTTCTTTATGTTCTTTTGAAAAGCAGGACAATGAAGTCATGCCATAAAAACTTCCTGTTTTCGCACAAAAAAGGAACGAAGAGAAGGAAAAGTGAAGGGTCAGTCACCTCATGTCACTCTTATGGCTATTTGACAGAGGGGCACCAGCAGAGGTCCAGGAAATGGTTTTCAACCTGTCCTCGTCCAGGCATAGTGGAACATCGTAAAAAAAGACTGACAAAGAGGCCGTTCTTTTAACTGCTGTAAATTCAGTTAATTAATAGTTATTGGATTTTCAAAAGATTGAGGATTACACTTTAAAGATATTGTGAAATAACTTAGCTTACCTAACCTACCTAAATGCAAATGTTATAGTACTAAATTGTGTTAAAATTAGTGTTGCACAGGGAGCATGAAGGGTTCATTAGTTCACAACAAAGTGAGAGAACAGTGGAGTTGGATTACAAATCAGTGAATCAGAAAGCTGATGTCAATAGCGATGGATGATATAACTGTAATCAAGCTAGATGGTGAATAAATGGAATAAGTGGATACTTTCATGTACTTTACAAGACTGATTTCCGCAGCGTGAATATTGCCAAAGAACAAGGTTAGGATGAGCAAATTATCACATTAATTTCAAGCTTGGGTTAGAAAGGTACTGGAGTGAACGTTGAGGTTTGTGTAAAACTTTTCACAAGGGTCCTGGTACTTTTTAATTTCACAGTATCTGACATTCCTGGTTTAATACATAATGACATCTGCAGATTAATAGTATTGTGCTACTTACTAATTTAGATCACTTCAGAGTTCATTCAGTGAGTTTGTTCAGTCCTGCCAAAGCTGATGTTATCCTGTAACACAACTGAATTGTGTATCCAAGAGGCTGGTAGTTGTCGCCCTAATTATACATTGTGCATTATCAGTGCTCAAATTAACAGACCTTTGCTGTGGTTTGGGAACATACTCAAAGTGGAGACTTTTGCACCTGCCCTGCAGCTGCTGTTTCAGTACCTGTGTTCAGTCAGCTTTCTGGGGGTAACAAACTGCCATTGCATTTGTTTCCTTCAATAAGATCTGAAGAAATATTGCCTTCAATTTACAATATATTGGCAGAAACCATGACAATATTTGGAATAGCTTTTGATTATGATTCACCTAGTTGCTCAGAACAATTTACGTTTATTCAATGCTTTTCATGTTGGGAGGACATCTCAAAGTCCTTCACATAACTGACTAGGAGCCTGAATTGGGAGAGTGAAGTGGAGCTGAGGAGGGGAAAGGTGGCCAGAAGAATGGTCAAAGAGATGGGTCTTCAGGCTGGGATGGGAAGGGGCAAGGCAGAGTGACTCTGGGATGGAATTCCAGAGAACGGGGACTGTGTGGCTGAAGATGGAGCAGGTGGGGGATGTGAAGCAGGTGAATGTTTGCAGAGTAGAGGGAGCGGCTAGATACAATAGTGTGAAGTTCAAAAGAAACACATTATTTTATTTTCTCATTATCGGCATTTTTTTTCTCCTTGAGTACATTATTTATTTTCTTAGATTGACCTTTACTGTCATGCTTTTCATTGGGGGAAGGAGGAGAAAATATCAATTTAAACATCATGCTGAACTCTCGCGAGCCTCTCTGCACACAGCATTGCCATATCTAAGAGTCATCACTAAGATGGCTTAGTGTAACCCATGACGAAGAGCCTTCCCTTTTAACTACGTATGAATGTTTTCAGTTTGGAGGGCGAAGCAGATTGCTGAATGTTGGAAAATTATTAAAGTAAACCAACTGTTGCAAAACTTGATTGTGTGTTTGTCATTTCTGTTTTGTGCAGGTTCGTGAAATCGATGGCATTCCACTCATCTTGGACAACTGCAGCATTGATGACAACAACCCTTGTATCCTTTGCTGGACTCCATCTGTTTTTGAATTCCACATTATAATTTGCAAATCACCCATTCCCCCTCCTCCACCCATAACAGATACATCTCCACTAAAATATAACGATAGTCAAGTGCATGTGTGATTTTTTTTCTTTCTCAACCATATCTATGCATACTTTGCAATTTTTTTGATGAGGAAACGATATTAAAACTAACGTGATAGTGCAGGGCACCAACATGGCTGTAAAGTGAAGGAAAGAAGAGGAAATAAATCAACTCACTAAGTGATTTCAAGTTTAGGTTGTAAGTTTGAAGGAGGAGAGGAAGACCGATGAAGTTAAGGAGCTCCACTGTTTTCAGATCCTGGGCAAAATAATTAGTTATTAATTATCAAGTGGACGAGAAATACAGGGAATGCGTATTTATATCCAAAGCACTCTTTCTAACGATATTAGAATATAGTATAATCAATACATTGCTGCTGCACAATTTCAGCTCTAAGCTCAATTTTAGCCCGACTCAGAAATCACAAGAGCCTGCAATGAAAGATGCGTTATTTTTTCTACCTCACCATGTGTTTAATACAAATGAGGAGGGAAGTCTGCAGATAAGTGAGGAGAAAGTTGGAAATGTTTGCAAAATCCCAAACTAATACAAGCAAACATTCTTACAGATTTGGATGTTTTAAGCCCTAGATTTTAAGCATGAGACATGAGCATTTCAGTCCTCTCCTTTTTTGCAGTAATTATTTTTTTCTAATTTCATTAACATTGTAAATAGAGAAAAGAGGTGGATAACATTCCTGTCTTGATTTGTTGATTACTCTCGCAAGCTACGTCTCTGAATATATAATTGACAAACCACCCATGATGTGCACAATTGATCCAGTTTTGTGTTCCATTTGATCGTTGTCATAAGAACCTTGAGATGTTGTTAGGGGATGTAGATCAGAACTACAAGGAAGCGCCTTCAATTTAATTCAAGCAGTATTCTGGAAATCGTGAGACATTTTGAATATATGCAGTAAAAAGACAAAATTAGTGAGGTACAGAACAGTAACCACATGGTGAGGTAGAAAAAATAACGCATCTTTCATTGCAGGCTCCTGTGATTTCTGAGTCGGGCTAAAATTGAGCTTAGAGCTGAAATTGTGCAGCAGCAATGTATTGATTATACTATATTCTAATATCGTTAGAAAGAGTGCTTTGGATATAAATACGCATTCCCTGTATTTCTCGTCCACTTGAAAGTGCCAGGAACGTTATCTATATCAGCGCTTACTTTAGGAAAGCATTACTTTCGGATATTGTAGACTTGCCGATCGCCAAAAAGGTAAAAAACGTCTAAAGGATCCCGTTTGAACTATTTTTTGTGGAAATGAACAAGTAGAATAAAATACAAACATTGCAGGCAGTTTCAAGATTTGAGTAAAAAGATTCAATGGGAACTTGCTAGGTTTTGATTTGTTTCTGGATGGCCAAGCTCAGTATGGAATAAAACAGGTTTATTTTAAAACAATGAGTTATCAACTGGAAGCTTTATTTGGAAATAGGCCAGTGGTGAAGCAGATTAACATGATTGCATGATTACATTGAAAAATATGCCTTCATTTTCTTTGAGAATATTGTTCTCAAGCTACGCTCAGAAACAATTGGTTTGACCACAAACCACTTATTGGCCTCCCCCTATCTCTCCCTCTTCAACAGAGGTAGGCCAATGGCAGTACCCTATAACCTCCTCAAATGAGGACAGCAAACTCACCACAAACTGGGATCAAACTGCAGTTATTTGGCTCTTTCAGACTGGGCAGTGAACTTAATAACTTAATATAATGGTTCTGTCTTGAGAGTTTGAGTGATGATCGCTTTGGTGTAGCGCAGCAATGTTGTTGTGTTTTTTGTGGTACTTTCAGTGTTTGAAATGTTGTAGTGATGAGGAAGACATTAGATTGTCTACAAATGGTCCTCTCTGGATCCCTTCTTTCCTGCCATGGAATTACGCTGATGTGCTACCATTTAGGATCTTTCTATTTGTACGTATTTTAAATTTCTTAATTGTCAGAACTTGGTAGCTTTTCTGTTTCCTCTGGCCAAAGTGCTATGATATGGTTAAGCACAAGACCCTTTTTTTATAACAGGGATGGGTAAAGGCACCTGATCTGGAGTTCCATCATAGTTGGAGTATCTTAAAGGGCAATGCCTGAGGTGTTTTCTTTCTTTGGATGGGAGAATACTCTTTCATTTGGATGTGTACATCAAAGGAATAAAGACAACACCTGGGATGGATCATGTCCACTCGTTTCCCAGAATGGGATGGTAATGTTCCTGTGTTCATGTTATTTGGCCTCGGCTGTTCGACGCCAATGTGTTTATTATAAGTTGCCCTTTGGTGTTTTTCCAGCACTTTCACCCACAAGATCTACAGGGCCAGAGACATCTTGCTGTAAATCAGTTAGATCTGAGAAAGGAGGGAGTGGACTACTCGTAGATCTCTTCATCAACCATCCAACTGTCCTCTGTTGGTCTGTCAGTTCACTGCTATTATCTCCATTGTCTGGATTACCTGTTGTGCCCTACAGATGCCTCCGGGAGAGTGTCTAAGGAGAGAGAATTGTTTTGAATGTTAGGTCTAATTAAAGGCCAGGGCTGTGCTGACCGAAAGGTATAATTTTGTTTGATGAAAATAAGAAAAAGAGAATTGAGATGTATTTGTTCAGACATAATTGCACATGTAAAGGCTTAATTTTAATTGAGAGTTCAGCCATGAATACCATGAGAATGAATTGAAAATGAAGGCAGATTTAAAAACCATATATACACACAAATTATTAGAATTTAACCACTGAGCAACACACTGCCTCATCAGCCAACAAAGAGCATCATTAGTCACTCCAAGCCACAGCTCTGTAGCTCATATCATTCCTCGTGCCTGAATGGGAGCACAGTAACTGAGATTAAAGGTGCTACATATTATTAAACAATCATATTTGTAGAATTCAAACAAGGGCTAAATAAGCTGTGTAGAGTTAAAGCCAGACAGTTTGAATTAGTGCTATTTTTGCCACTTAAAATTAATCCTTACCCTCTAACCAAGATGAGACAGTCTGTGGCCTGGAGCTCAGAGTAATGTGTGGAATGATTGTTAAGGCACACAAAACCTCTTTTATGTTTAATCTTGTGAAATCTTATTAATAATGTTCCCCCTCCTCCTCCTTCCCTCCCCCCATATTGAAATTTACAGTTTGTCATGTAGTTCAGCTGGAACCAGCTGGCATGATGACATAGTTCTCTGGTGTCAAAAGTGCTGCTGACAATCTATTCAAAGCAGTTAGTGACTATTGCCAGGAAAGTAGAAAGCATCCACTTTGAAGCTTTGTTTACTATGCAGATTAAATGATAAAAGTGAATTAATGCTCAGAATTGGAGAAGTCTGTTTGCATGAAAAATGTTTTGAACCTGGGGTTTGTTTCCAAAGCTTTAAAATAAGAGCGAAGCACACAGAAGTGAAGTCTATAGATGAGGAGACGCCGGATTGCTGGGATCTGATGGTTCTGGATGTTGGCAGTCAACCCCATCATGACCAAATTGTTGTGAGGGAGATTAAATTTTAGCTTAATGAGCAAAACAAAGAAAGGACATAGAATAAGATTGCTGTAAAATGATGAGGATCAGTAATATGCCACCGTTCATGTTGCTAGCTAGTTTGGTCTACCACTTTTGCCTTACAACCAGAATGGATGGGTTGGGGGTGATAAGGTTTCTGTGCTGGTCAGATCAACTTTTACCTCAATGTTAAATCTATGGACAAAGGTACGAATGAAGGTCATGTAAGTGGACCTTGTCAATCCCATTGTGGTGTTGTACGAGGATCCGAACTATGAACAAAAAAGTCACACTAAAACAAGTTCATAGGTCAAAAAAAGTCAGACAAAAGTAATTACTTGTGAAATGCTTTGAGACTTTTCATTACCACAAGGAGCTATAAAGATGATTTTCTAAATTAACTAATGAATAAGTACCAATTTTTTCCCTCTGATGTGGTGGATTATCGATATTACAAAGTAAATTACATAGGCAGAAAGCTGCACAATCTACTTTTTCTTTGGCATTAAGGCTGAGTTGTGTGCTGCGTATGAAGGGGTAGGTGGGATAATGTGGCAGAGCTGTATTTGGGCTTTGATGTATTCAGTACTTTGATTTATAGGCTAAAAACTAGATCAGAAATGGTCCAACTACATTGGCTTGTGGCTTTGAGGTAACTCTTTGCAAACAAATGCCTTTGGTAAGAAATGAGAGTGATCCAGTCAGCCAGAGTTTCCAGGGATCAGAAAAGTGGAGAACAAATGAACCTTCTTGCTTGAATGGGAAAACAAATTACCATCGGTGTGCAACGAGCTTTGAATCATCTTGAGTGGTTTTACCGTCAGATTTTAAAATTACTTTTGAAATTTCAAATTTTAATATTAGATCATTAAATTATAAACAAATCCTGAGATTTTGGAGTGGAAAAATTGTCACTGCATGTGATACTACAAAGGCTTTTCTTTTGTACTTGAAAAGAGATTATCTGCCTGAATCACATAATATGAATGTTATGAATTGAATACTTTCTCCCTTTTATATTATGCACATCCGAATAGAAATGTTATCTTGTCTAGCAGTAACTTGAGCTGTTGAGAAAAATATGATCTGAGGCCTGTAATTCCAGTCAATTATGGCACATGAGACCATTTGAAATTAAAATGTAATACAGTGTAAGATTTTGAGCCACTGGACCTTAAAATAAGTTGAGTCAATAATATTTTACTCAAAATCATCAAGCATTACATTAGCAATATTGACAAGATAATTTACCATAACTATTTTGACTTTGGTCCAGACTGCTTGTTCACTCAAATTAATGTTTCTCTCTCCCTCTCACTCACTTACCCAAACAAATACTATACATTCACATGCACAAACCAAGCACCACACAAGCACAGCTCCCCCTAAAATGTCCTTGTTCTAATTCAAACA